AACCAGTTTATGGGCTATCCGCTCTCTGAAGGCAAACTGGACCAGAAGACGGCCACCTCACTCTTATGGCAGTCCTACCCCATCACTGTAAGAGTCTAATAATCCTAGGAATGAGCTGGGACACAAAGAGGGGAGGGACTTGTCCTGACTCACAGATGATTTAAGTGTCAGAATGCAGGCTGGGACTTGGGGGTTCTGCCCACATTTTTCTACCTTCCCCACTTGATCACACTAGGGGTGAGTGCAGGGGAGTTGCACAGAGCTGGAGAGGTTCCCCCTTAATAAAGCCTTCCTCACTGGCCAGAGATGACGTGTGCTCACCACGTGGTTGTGGTCACTTTCTTGATCTATTGCAGGGCATCCCTGAGGAACTGACTTCGGTAGCCATTGAGAAGTATTTAGGGGGAACAGATGACCCTGTCAAAAAGAAAGACCTGTTCCTGGACTTGATTGCTGATGTCATGTTTGGTGTCCCAGGTGTGAATGTGGCCCGACACCACAGAGGTGAGTCCCTAAAGCTGGACAGGAGAGGGACACCAACCCCACCAGCTCCAGTGTCTGACCTGCCCGCCTCCCAGCACAGACAGATGTGGAAAGTGCTGAGCGTCCAGCCTCACAGGTGGATTCCATATGGCCCGGGGTGTGGTGCTGTCCTGTATTGGTTTCTGCCTACAGCAGCCTCTGAGAAAATGATCCGGATGCACCTAGTTTACTTGTCAGGTGATCCCAGAAAGCACCAGCATGGAGGTGTGGAAGTGTCAGAGGAAAGAGACAGAAGACACTTCATGACATTGCCAAGCGGTGTCCTCTGTGCACAGCGGGGGCTGGGGAGCTCTGGAAACACGCAGAGGACACAACTCAGGGTTACCCCTTCTGAGCAGCTCTCAGTTGTCACTGGCTGAGGAGGTTCCAAGGAACTGTAAACTCCCTGGTAGTCTGACCTGCTGACCTGCTGCACACCTGAGCAGGTTAGTGTCTGGTGCTGACAGAGACCCCAGGCAAAGAGCTAGAGAGGCTGGAGGTGGACATCAGGCTGAAAGAGACACTCAGAAAGAGGGGATCTGGGTGATGTGGGTGAGGAACCATCAACATCTGAGACAAGGGCTCCCTACTTGGGGTTTTGTTGGAATGTGGGGGTAGAAGACAAATATTCAAGCACGAGTCCAGGAAGGTTTCTAAGATCAGAACTGGCTTCAAAGTAGTTGGTTAATGGAGCTGGGGGAAGAGCAGGAGTCAAGCACAGTATTGAGGCAGCTGTACAGAACCAAGAAGGTCCAGAGGAGGGAGAGTAGTGGGGATGGCTGGTCTGGAGATGTCAGTGTCTGTGACTGGCATTGGTCCTTCCTATTGTGTGCCAGAATGGACAAGCAGAGGGACCTTTTGACACTGCCCTGAGGCTGTGTGGGTTTGGTGTGAGGTAGAGATGAATGAGCTCATCTTGGGGGGTGGTGGTGGATAGATGGAGTGTCCTCTTCTGGGTGCCATCTGGGTAACCTCGCAGACTCTCCTTTTTCTACTGGCTCTCACTTACCTAGTCTGCAAGGTGGGAAGGGGTCCTCTCGTCCAGACCTCTGTCTTTAAGCAGGCTGGAAGGGGTTTAAAATCCAGGGTACTATAAGCATGCTAAAAACTAGGTTCAGCTGGGCAGTGCCTGTGGCTCAAAGGAGTAGGGCACTGACCCCATATGCTGGAGGTGGCGGGTTCAAACCCAGCCCCGGCCAAAAACAAAACAAAACTGCTAACAACAACAAAATCTAGGTTCAGCTGACCTAATAGATGCCCAGGACACAGGAAGGTACAGGTGTCCTTAGCGCTTACCTCTTCCTCCTCCCAGGGTTTCTAATTAAACCTTTTAACCAGCCCCACCTAGAGTTGCGTGTTTTTTTCATAAATTTGATTTTGCCTTTTGCTATGTGTCTTATCTGCAGAGTTTTCTGCTACATCTTCTGCTGGTCCTGACCATATTGAACTTTTTGTTTTTTTAAACAGATATTTTGTTTATTTTTGTTTCTGGGTCTTTTTGCCAGGAGTATACAGATTTTGTCAAATTTTATTTTTTTGTATTTGTCTTGCTTTTCTTGACCAAAATAACTCATGAATATAAAATTAATGTGGTTCAGTGTAGGAGGCTTAGAAAATATGAAGACATATAAAGAAGAAAATATATTTCAATCCTAATTCCTCTGCCTGAAGGTATCTTCTGTAAATTTTTTTCAGTATTTTCTTCTATGATTTTTTTCATCTCATATTCTATTCATAGAATGCCATATTGTGAGGATTTTCTTTTTTTAAAGCTCTGTTTATAAATCAGGTAAAATTTTTCTTAATGTTGATTTTAAAAAGCATGAAAATGTTCATTATTCCATGAAATGAATACATTAAAAATTAATTTAACATTCCTACCTTATTGGTATTCAGGTTGGTTGCTCATATTATCAAGCAATAAATAACATTGTTATTCTCAGCCCATGTGCATCAATCGCCAAGCATGTGGCTATATAATATTTTAGGTATTTTTTTTATATGAAATTACTAGGGAGGCCCATAAGGACATTGTGAAGCTCTTGATACATATTGCAAAATTGCTCTCCAGTATTCTTTTTGTCACCTGGGATACTAAGATTAAAAAGTAAAAGAATGCTGCCAAATCCCTAAGCTTTCTCCATCAAAAAGAGGGAAATCATGGGCAGCACCTGTGGCTCACTGAGTAGGGTGCCAGCCCCATATACTGAGGGTGGTGGGCTCAAACCTGGCCTCGGCCAAACTGCAACAAAAAATAGCTGAGTGTTGTGGCAGATGCCTGTGGTCCCAGCTACTCAGGAGGCTGAGGCAAGAGAATTGCCTAAGCCCTAAGAGCTGGAGGTTGCTGTGAGTTGTGATGCTACGGCACTCTACTGAGGGTGAGAAAATGAGACTCTGTCTCTAAAAAAAAAGGGGAAAAATTATACTTTGTTTCTATTTGCTTATCTGTGATCACAATGGCTCTCTCATTGTCTCTGGTTTTTGGGTTTTTGTTGTTGTTGTTGTTGTTGTTGCTGTTGTTCCTACTTGTATTGCTCTAATCTCTATGTTACTCTCTTTGGAAGACTTCTGCTGTGATTGTAAGATTGTTAGAACTCAAAGTGCTTTTAGGCAAAAAGGTATTTAAGAAATAGATTTTGGGAAACATGCTGCCTAAAATAAGTTTTCTCATTCACAAGAGTTGTTTGCTCTATATTTGTGCTTTGAATTCCTTTGTGAAACGTCTGAGTAGCAGAGGCTAGGTCAAGTTCTGCTTGACCGTAAAGTAGGCATTTCTCAAGTGTGTTGCAAATCTTAGAACGATGGCTTGTTCCAAATGATGCTTTTTATTAAATCAAGGGTGCATTGATGGAGATCAAGGGGTCAATTAAATAAGTTACTCTTCATTCTGACATTGGGAGGACATATATTGGTGTATTATTTTGCAGAAAAATGTTTAATGATGTGATGTGTGGTTAGGATGTGATTATAGTGTGTTAAAAGTACCACATAAAATATCATCCCAATTTTACATACATGAAAGGGAGATAAAAAAGAAAATCCCCACAATATAACATTCTATGAATAGAATATGCGATGAAAAAATTCATAGAAGAAAATACTGAAATACAATAATAAAAGAGACTTTCTCTGAGAGGTTGGATTCTGAGTGATATTTATTTCATTTTCTGTTTTTCTGTATTTTACAAGTTTTTTATGAATCGAAGGTGGAAAAAGTTGTAAAATTTCTCCACCAGTCTTACTTGGGATCTGGCTCTTTCCCTCTTGGGGTCACTCCTCTGTGGACATTATGACCAATGGAAAGTGCTGACTCATGTGCTGGGCAGACCATGAGTTACCCCTAACGGAGCTGGGCCTGGTGCCTTCAATGACCCACACAGTAGGAAATTTGGCATCTCCTTGGGGCTTAGACAAATGCACTTTGGTGGTAAGAGAGGAAGGCAAAGGAAGGGAATAGAGTCAGGACAGAGGCACGTTCACCCTCTATGTCCCCTTCTCATCTCTGCCACCACCTTAATGCCTTAAAGCTTTAACACTACAAGGGTCAAACAGGAAGCAAATATATGAGGAGATAGTGAACTATGAAGCCCTGAGTTTTGTGGTTTCTTGAGAAACAAGAGACAGATTGTTCTCTCTCTGCTTTTGTTTGGATATAAATACCCTCATTTTAGATAACCAAGTTGAATAGGCTTCACTCATCTTGGAAATGAGTGAAAAAAAGCCCACTGAAAATGATCAAAACTAGTCTGAATAGAAGACACCCTTCAGGGTGTATATGTTCTCCAGGTGACTGAGCACTAGTGTGTGTGTTATCAGCGAAAGGGAGCAGTGTAAAGTGGATGTAGAGAGATTTTCATGTTTGTGAATGTGTCAGGAGGCGATGGGACCCAGTGTTCTGATAATGATAGCTATTTTAAATTGATCAACTCAGGGTTTTTAACATTCATTCAATCAATGTTCATTCATTCATTCACTCATCTATTCAACAAAAACCTGGCTCAAATCCCCAGTGCCTCCTTAATTACTAATGTAGCCCCCAGCAAGTCAGTGTAAGTCAAGGAGCTTCCTGAAACGGTCTCTTGACTGCATTGATAACCAGGAATGTCCATCAGGGCTATGGGCCTTGATACCATCAAGGTGTGTGTCTGTTAACATGAACTGTGCATGAATCCATGTCTTCTCAGATGCTGGAGCCCCCACCTACATGTATGAGTTTGAGTACCACCCAAGCTTCTCCTCAAACATGAAACCCAAGACGGTGACAGGGGACCATGGGGATGAGCTCTTCTCTGTCTTTGGAGCCCCATTATTAAAAGGTAAAGGCTCTTTGCTGGCTGTGAGTGTAGAGTTAGGAGATCTGGGGTACAGTCTTTGTTTGGAGGCCTGGAGGAAGTTTCTCTTTTTCTTCTGGTCTGAGCTTCCCAATTCACTGTAACAGTGTTGAATGATTAGGCAGCCCTCAGTCTTCTTCTGCTCCCACAGACATGAAGGAGGATGTGCACACATGTGGCCTCAGCCCAGGTCACTCTGCAATTCTGGCCTGTGCCACCATTAATGCAGGTCTTTGGTGCAGGGACCTGCTCTAGGGCCAGAATGTCACCAATCTGCCTCTCACAAGAGTGTATCAGAATGTGGGTGAGGTTAATGTTAGAATTGGTGTTAACCTTGAATTGGGTCTAATGTGTGTCAGTCCTTTTTCTGTCTGCCCATTTATCAAATCTCATATGATTAACTTAAAAATATTCAATACCATGATATTCCAAAGAAAACCTTTCACAGGTGGCTTCAATACCTTGATTTTCAGTAGTAAGAAATGACTTGTATCCCATTTCATGGCTGTTCATGTTACCCCAGGGCCTCTGGGCTTCTCTCAGTCAGGTGATTACTTAGGACCATTACAACTCTGTTATTTTGCAGACTAAGAAAATGTGGGTGGGTGTAGGAGACCAAGAAGAGAAATCCTGGGTGGTGGGGCTGCTATCAGGAAACCTTGGGGTTTAGCATTGAGACTGTTAGTGAGGAGAAGAAGGCAGAGGTCACAGCACTGAAGGCAGCAGCCATGTGGTTTCAATGGACGCCCATTGCTGAGTCCTAGAGCAGTCATTCCCAAACTCTCAGATCACTGCAATCAGCCAGCAGTGTGTATGAAGTAAGGGCCAAGTCTCCATGTTTGTAACAAGCTCCCAAGTGATGCTAACTCTACTGGCCCATTAACAAAACTGAGTTATGACGTCTTGTTTTCTTTTTCCTAAAGATGGTGCTTCAGAAGAGGAGGTCAGACTTAGCAAAATGGTGATGAAATTTTGGGCCAACTTTGCTCGGAACGGGTAAGGCTGATGGCAAAGGTGGGGCAGGGTCCATGGGGGCATGGCACATCTATGGGGAAGGACAGCTTCTGAAGTTTGAGTGATCAAGCTTTCCACCCTGTGAACATAGTGTTCTGATCATGGGTTCCATCTGAAATGGACAGGCTGCCCAGGAGTTGGTGAGCTCCCCGTCTCTGCAGGTGTACAAATTTCTTGGAAGTGATGAGCCAAGAGACCCCTACAAATCTTGGAGGAGTGCTAGGGATGCACAGCAGCTTTAAGGGGTTTCTATCTGATTCTGTTCTCAGGAATCCCAATGGGGAGGGTCTGCCCCACTGGCCAAAGTATGACCAGAAGGAAGGGTATTTGCAGATTGGCGTCACCACCCAGGCAGCCCAGAAGCTGAAGGACAAGGAAGTGGCTTTCTGGAACAAGCTCCTGGCCACAGAGCCTGTGGGAAAACCATTTCAGAAAGAGCACATTGAGCTGTGAACAGGCCTCACCAGCCACCGGAGCCTGGAAGAGCCACCACAGAGGTGTTCTATAGAAGGTGACTGTGGGTCAGAGTGGTGTCTCATTGTGGAGTCTGGGGAATTGTTCCTGGGGGGTGGACACAGGCCAGGGAGGGGCAATTTTTGCACTTGTGACCTCAGTTGTGTCAATAAACATTTTTTGGAGGCCAAATCAGTGTTTGTGTCTTGGGCTAGAGATTAATACACCCTCCTCACAGAGAGCAGAATGGAGACAGGGGCCCATGAGTAGGATGGCTTGGCCTCTTGACAGTCAGCACCCAGCATCCTGGGCCTAGGAGATGCTTAGGGGGCTCTTGAAGTGCCCCCATGTCACTAAGCCACCAACAGTGTCCAATAACAGAGTTTGGGACAGCCGGAGTACAGACTTCCTCCCTCAGTCTGGAGTCATCTGTGGAGATGGGTAGCACGGGCTGAGTATGAAGCTGGATCAGGTGAAGAGGGAGAGGTGCTTTGGTGACCCTGTGCAGAGTCACATGGACTTCCTGACTCTCTCCTGAAAAAAGAACAAAGTGAGTGGAGGAAAAAGCCAAATAGGACATAGCATCTAAGACCTGTGGGGTAATATCTGATGGTCCAACATATGTATAAATAATGAAAGGCACCAAAGTACGGGTCTGCAGTACCGTCCTAAACATATACAGTAGCCTCAGATCCCCCCAGGGCTATTTCCTCCAGAAACTGGTCTGAAGCTTCTCTGTAGTCAGGAGTATTCCAAGTCCAGGCAGTGACCACCTTGATGTATGGCCCTGAAGTGTCATTGTAAAACTGGTTCTTTCTGAATCTCTCTAGTGATACTTGGTTCCTTCTGGGTTATAGAAAGATTGTGAGTGTCAGTACTATTCTTAAAGAAAGAAAAAACTACATTTTCCTTCTAATCATAAGTATTCTTGTGGAAAAAAGAGGGCTGAAATTGCAAGAAAATGATTATCCTGGAATGGAAGGGAAGACAGGCACTTTTGAGGAGAGGTAGGATTGAACACTGGCTTCCCTTCCACCTACAGGCAGAGACAGGTTCACTATCTTTCACAGAATTATTCTAAAAATTGTAATCAAGTGATAAAGGCCAAGTGTGGGCCAGTATGTGAGTATAAAATCCCTGGGAACCATAGACCCAGTGGGGAATTTATACCCATCACAGACTCCTCTCCTTCACCTTCATTAAGGACTGATGAGAAACATTAGGATCAGCTGGCAAAACTGGAGAAACCCTGCCTCCAAGGATGCAGCCCAGATCCCTGCTCAGATCCTTCTCTCCCAAAGAATAAGCTCCTTCAACCACTGGGAAAAGACCATCAAATCTTGTCTCCCTCGAGACACTGGTGAAGACTTATTGCATCCCAAGAACAGGAAAACTTAATATCCCCTGGTAGAGGGACAGGCAGTCATCCTGGGTTCCAATTACTGGTCTTTTACTATTCCTCACTAGGAAACGGAAGATTACTGAGAAAGTTCCATCTCCAAAACTGAGAAACACAGAGCCAGCCTACAAAGCTAGACCAAGACAAAGAAAACACCCCTTGCTGCCAACAGAATAATTAAGTGCCCAGTAACAGAAATCTACTGATGGGGAATGGAGATAGCATATTAAGAGACCTTCTCTGAAGAACAGGTGCATAGGGCAGGCTTAAAGCTGAAGTTCAAACAGAATATTTAGAAAATCCTTCAGAAAACATGCCTTTGCACAAGCTCACTAGAGCAAGGGCAAACACAGAGTAACCATGAAATTTGAAGCAGTTAGTACACTGAGGGTAACCATAGCAACAAAACCCAAACCCTGCTCACAACCTCACTATGTCAACTCCACTATGGACAAGTGGACTATTAGTCTAGCAAAAGAAAAGGCATGCCTATTTCCAGTCATGAATACCACGTACATAAGTTTCTAGTCTCCTACCTGTGATGTTAAATAAATGCACTAAAAGCAAGGAAAAAAAAAAAAACCAGTTGCCAAAGAGAAAGCAATTAACAGGACCCTCCCTACAGATAGCATAGGTGTCAGAACTGACAGACTGGGGATTTAAAGTAACTGCATAGAAAACTTACATGAACATATGGGTATTTCAGCAGGGAGGCAGAAAGTATGAGAAAGAAGCAAATGGAAATGTTAGAAATGAAAAAAGAATAGTAATGGAAATGAAGAATGCCTCTAATGAATTGAGAGGTCAACCTGAAACAGCTGAGGGAAGAATGGGTGAGCTTGAATGTAGGTCGGTATAAATTACCCAATTTACACAAGAAGAAGAAATGTGTGGAGGAAAAGCCAAAGAGGACACAGCATCCAAGATTGACGAGATAATTTCTAATGGTCCAACATATGTATATCTGGAATCTGAGAAAGAAAAGCGAAAAAGAACAAGCAGAAAAAAATATTTGGAAGATAATGGCTGAGAATTTTCAAAAATCATGAAAGACATCAAAGTATAGATCAGAGAATCTCACAGAACCCCAAGTAGGATTAAACATCAACATACATGTTTAGACACATAATGAGAAAATATAAATGGCATCTGAAGGGAAAAGACTTTATTTAGATAGAAATAAAGAAAAGGATTATAGTAAATTTCTTGTTGTAAACTTTGCAAAAAACAAATACAAAAGGAGAGGTATCTTTAAAGTCCCCAAAGAAAAAGTCTTCCAATTAAGAATTCTATATCTAGAAAAAATATTTGAAGTAGAAAAGAAAAAAGACTTTTTAGACAAACAACTTAGAGTATTTTTATTAGCATACCTGTGGTACAAGAAATAGGAAAAAAAGTTGTTCATGCAGAAGTCATGATATATCATACCAGAAAAAACATGTGTGTCTACTTATATGGTAAAGAAATAAACTACCAAAATATTTCAAATAAAGGTAAGACCTTTTTCTTATCTTACATTGCTGTCTATAGCAAAAATAGTACAAATGAACTGTGAGTTTATATGTAATAGGAAAATAATGACAAAAAATAACACAAAAGATGGAAAAAATAGAAATTTAAACTCCATTGTTGTAACTTTTTGTAATTTTTGTTATATTATTTGTATGTGTAATGTAATTCATGGATGTATAATGCAATGTATATTGTATATCTAGGAAAACCAGTAAAGACTTTTAAAAAGAGATAAGGACAATAACCCAAAAAGAGATATGAATATTAACCCACTAGTAAAGATAAAATGGAATCATAAGCAATAATACTAAAGCAAGCAGACAAAAGGAAGAAAGGAACAGGGAACCCCCAAACAAATTTTCTTTTCTTTTTTTATTGTTGGGGATTCATTTAGAGTACAGACAACTAGGTTACATTGATTGTATATGTTAAATAAAGTCCTTCTTATGATTGTGTCCTGCCTCCAAGAGGTGTGCCACATACAGTGACCCCCCCTACCCCTCCCTCTTTCCCTCTCTCTACTCTCCTATTCCTTCACCCCCACCATGTACTTGGTCATCAGTTCTCCTCATATCAGAATTGAGCACATTGGATTCTTGCTTATCTGTTCTTGTGATGCTTTACTAAGAAGAATGTGTTTCACCTCCATCCAGGTTGATACAAAAGATGTGAAGTCTCCATCTTTTTTAGTGGCTGAATAGCATTCCTCATGGTATACATACATATACCACAGCTTGTTAATCCATTCCTAGATTGGTGGGCACTTAGGTTGTTTCCACAGTTTGGCGATTGTAAATTGAGGTGCGATAAACAGTCTAGTGCAAATGTCCTTATGATAAAATGATTTTTCTTCTGGGTAGATGCGCAGTAATGGGATTGCAGGACCAAATGGGAGATCTAGTTTGAGTTCCTGGAGGATTCTCCATATGTCCTTCTAAAAAGATTATATTAGTTGGCAGTCCCACCAGCAGTGCGAAAATGTTACCTCCCTCCACATCCACACCAGCATCTGCAGCTTTCAGATTTTGTGACCATTCTCACTGGGGTTAGGTGATATCTTAGGATGGCTCTCATTTGCATTTCTCTGATAATTAGAGATGATGAGCATTTTTTCATGTCTTTCTTAGCCATTTGTCTATCTTCTTTAGAGAAGGTTCCATTTGGCTCTCTTGCCCATTGATATAAGGGATTGTTGGCTTTTTTCATGTTGATTAATTTGAGTTCTCTGTAGATCCTAGTTATCAAGGTTTTGTCTGATTCATAATACGCAAATATCTTTTCCCATTCTTTGGTGTTGTCTTCTTAGCTGTACAGAAGCTATTCAATTTAACTAAATCTCATTTATTTTTGTTGTTGCTGCAATTGCCATTGGAGCCTTCTTCATAAAATCTTTCCCCAGGCTGAACTTCAAGTGTTTCCCCCACAGTTTCTTTGAGGATTTTTATTGTTTCATGTCTTGGATTTAGATCTTTTATTCATCCTGAATCAGTTTAGTGAGTGGAGAAAGGTGCAGGTCCAGTTTCAGTCTTTTACATGTGGTTAAGCAGTTCTCCCAACACCATTTATTGAATAGGGGTTCTTTCCCCCACTGTATGTTCTTGTTTGGTTTATCAAAGGTTAGGTGACTGTAAGATGTTAGTTTCATTAATGGTTTTCCATTTGATTCTAGATGTCTAGATCTCTATTTTTGTGCCAATATCATGTTGTTTGGAACATTATGGCCCTGTAGTATAACCTAAAGTCAGGTAGGCTGATGCCTCCAGCTTTGTTTCCATTACTAAGAATTGCCTTGGCTATGTGGGGTTTTTTCTGGTTCCATATAAAATGAAGAATTATTTTTTCCAAATCTTGGAAGTATGATGTTGGTATTTTAATGGGAATTGCATTGAATATGTAGATTGCTTTCAGAAGTAGAGGCATTTTAACAATGTTGATTCTTCCCAGCCATGAGCATGATATGTTCTCCATTTGTTAATATCTTCCGCTATTTCTTTTCTTACGGTTTTGTAGTTTTTCTTGTAGAGGTCTTTTACCTCTTTTGTTAGATATTCCTAGGTATTTCATTTTCCCTGAAGCTACTGTGAAGGGAATTGTGTCCTTGATTACCTTCTTATTTTGGTTGTTATTGGCATATGCAAAAGCTACTGGTTTGTGGACATTGATTTTGTATCCTGAGACATTACTGTATTTTTTGATCACTTTCAGCAGTCTTGGGGTTGAGTCTTTGGGACTTTTTCAGTATAAGATCATATAGTCAGCAAAGAGGTAGAGTTTGACCTCC